ATAATGAACCATTGCGTATATTATTTCATGTAGTCATACTATCTGCATCACCATACAATTGTTACAACTATATGTATAAGTGTATTTATTATACTTTAATATTATGTACCTAGGTATTGTGTTATAACAAATGGCATTAGTCTAAAAACAGTGGCATGGCCTGAGGGGTTGAGAGGGGTGCAACTCTCTCCATCATTTTAGAAAAATTTTAAAAAAAATTCAGTGTCTTTTGAACATAAAACCCATGACGTAATCATGCATTAAAATTGTAATTTGTATGAAGGTTGTAGCAAAAATCTAAAATTATATAAACTTATCTTTCAGTAAACCAAACTTATTATGAGGAATATCTAGTTGATAGCCTCCCCTACTTAGTAAATTATTAGCCCTCTCTAAATCCAAATAATCAAAATCCTAGCTACTCCACTGATTAAAACTACACAGTTAGTAGTTACAAGGTATAAGTTCTGTATGTATAAAGAACATAAAATAGAACAATACATTTACCTATGTATATGAGTGTATTAAAAATGTATCCAAAAGTTTTGCGATTTTTCTGAAAGAAAACATTTTATTGTAAATTTCTATATTTATGTCTAGAAAATATAATTTTCTGCGTATTATAATGTGAGTATCTTTTTCAATATTTGTAGACGAGTACCGGACCCAAGCAAAAATCTCGGAACTTATGCTTTCCGTTTACCCAAAGATGACGTTAAAGGAATTTGGATCAGCTTCGAGGAACCAGAAACAGCCAAACAAAAAGCCACATATGTGAAACAAAATAATTTGGGAGGCATGGCGTTGATGGATCTGTCCTTGGACGATGCCAGAGGTCTGTGCGACGCTAATAAGTACCCCATTCTAAAAGCCATAAAGAATGTGTTGTAAGAGTGAATAGAGTACATTAATCACGAAATCGATTTTATATTTAATCACTCATTTTGTATCGTATATTTACATTAAAAAAAACTATATAATTACTTTGTACCGGAATACTTATGCATATCGTCGCTATATTATACTGTCTTGAGAGAAAAAACTATTTTCTTAAATAGGTACCTAACTAAAAAAATAAAGTTCTTTTTAATTATTTTATCTTATTTTTTTTTTAAATCTAATGTTTATTATATTATATCATGTAATGTTTTGTGACGTAGAATAAATATAATTCAAAAATATAAATATTTTACTATTTATTTCACTTTATTTGCAAAATATTTAGTAGATTTGATAGACCTTGCAACACAACCACACCACTCAGTTTGGAGTTGGGACTATTTGTAGTTTAAATAGTTATTAAAGAATGGAATAATGGATAGGAAATGGCTATAAACAATATAGAGTGAAATGTGCCAGAAGGAGAAAGAGATAAAGACTTTTTTTATCATTTCCTCTCATTCTAGCAGAAGTCTTATTATAATGTGTATAATTTTATAATTATACATTAATAATATGTTTGTGATAAGATCTCTATATTTTCATGTTCGTTCCCGTATTATACTCACAAATGGCCAATCCATTCTATAATATCTATGGTTTATATCTTAGATCATTATACTATATACTATATTGTATATCATTAATTAACAAAATAATATTATTCTAATGGTATGTACCGAAACTAACCTTTTTTATACCAATACATTAATTATACAACCAAATTACGATAATTTTTTTTTGCAATATCGAACATAACAATTTTTTTTCATACCACGCTCGAAAAAAAAGTTAATTTTTGCACATAGTGTTCAAAAGGTTTGCCACCTCTGTGGCCCTATTTTATATAATCTAAGGCTTATATACACTTTGTACATGATATCTGTTTGTCAGCCTATAGGATATTTTATATTCTACTTAAATTATTATTATAACTACTGTAGCCGCCAGCCGGTAGTTTGAATTTATATTATTTGCATATAATATTATAATAATATACTTTAGAAGTTTCAAGTAACCACGAATAATATTTTTGAATTAAAAGAACTTAATAATCATTGTTCTTGGTTATTTATTCATATGGAATTTCATCTAAATTTAAATATGAAATAACTGTAAAAACAAATTGTGATTTTTTGGTTACAGAATAACCTATTTACACGAAACCTTGTTTTACATTTTCAACCCTTAGCTATAAAATTTTGAACATTTTATAAATTTTTAATTACAAAATAATTTGTACATTTTCAATTTGATAAATATTGTCAACATTTGAACTTTAAATGCCTATAAAAACAATCTTGCCTATGGATTTTAATATTTTCGACTGTTGTTATAACTTATAACAATATATCAGAAACCTTGTATTCAACTCTCACGCTTTTCGACCCAACAAATAAAATTGTATTGCCATTTACAGTTGGTTGCACACGATCGTATTTCATAATCGTTGATCTTTGTGTTAGTTGTGACTTACAGCTCACGAGAGTGGTTTCAAAAATTAGTAAGTTGGAAAAAAAAATACTCAGTAGCATATTGTACTGGGGATTAACAAAATATAAATTATTGATTTTACAATTTATATATGTTACAGGCAATGTGGAATACCGGGCAATGTGTACATTGCCCGGTCAATGTGGTCCTGCCCGGGCAGTGTAAACCACAAATTTTAACCAACTAATATTATTTTTTATTATTATTATAAATTATAATCATTAGCTATTTATAGTATTGATTTTTTTTTAAACAGTCATTATTCATTTTATTTATGTACCATAATATTACAAATATTTTGATGGAATAACAAAAAAAAATTAACAAGTATCATCATTTTATTTTTATAATAAATTATAATTATATTATTACCTATTTATTTGAATACGATTTAGAAGCATGGCACTTGGAGTTACATAGTCTGTCTGCTTTTCTACATTTGATTTTTAAATAGGCAGTACGATAAGGAACAAAAATAAGTTTATACACAGTGTTTCAAAAAATTCATAGTTTATTGTATTAATGTATTATGATATAATTGGTAATACCTAATAATAATAAAAAATAATATTAGTTGGTTAAAAAAAATTCGGACCTTTTTTCGGAGCAATATGGACTTCTTAAAATTTTAAATTTACTTATAGTATGGCCAGGACCAAAACCTTCAAAATTAAAAAAAATATTATTACTAAAAAAGTTTTATAATAAATAATTAATGACCTATCATAGGCCTGTTAAATTCAGTGCAGTAATAGACTAACCCCGAATTAATATTGAGATACATGCTAAGATAAAATTTGGTATTTTCATGGATATCTTTTTCAAATAGGTACCAAAAATGTATAATTTATTTTTAGTATATTAGTTTTTATCAATGGAGCCCATTAGTGCTCCTAAAATTATTTATAACATTAAAATGCAAAAAATGTTTAGGTTCTGATATCTAGTGAATATTAAGTAAAAGTTTATTTTTTAATTGAATTTTAAGGGTTAAGGTTGCTTTTAATGTAGTGTCATTAACTTAAAGTGAAACATTTTTGGATGACTCCATTTCCAATACTGCACTGAAAGCCTCTAAGTCTCTAATATTATACTTATGTGTCCTGCGGTTTTAATTCTGAGTTCCATAGAACTTCTTCCTTTTCATATAAATCAATGAAATTCATTGTTTCTCATTCATTTTCAAAACATTCATATTAGTTATGTCCACTCATATTGCACGTAATAAATAAGTAACAACTTAATTATTGCTTTTAGTGTCTTATATCTTAAAAATAACTAGTTATTTAATAATATAAAATACACATAATTAAAAAATAAATTAAGAAATTAACCCTGCTACAAGAGTACTAAACCCCACGATTGAGCTTTACGACTGAAATATGCAACACGAATTGATATTTTACGAACCAATCGTGACAGCTACGTGAATGATACATGGTCGTAAAGTACGGATTCGGAATTATCTGATAGCGTTTTCGATTTGACAATAAAAGTGTGCACTGAAATTGAACTGATACTACACTCAGTGTCGCATTTAGGAATTTGTTATGGGAAGGGTCCAGATAACTTTCAGAACAAAGATCCGTGGGAGAGGGGGGGCTTTGCCTCCCACAACTTAAAATTTCTTTTTATTAAATAAATATAACATATTCAATTTAAAAGTCTATGTACTATTTTTGAGTTTTTTATTTTATAATATATATATTTGTATCATAATAAAACCATGATTAACTAACTAATTATGTAAGTAGTTCACTAGTAAACTAATAAATTGCTCACCTAGGTAGGTACCTACTTAGTTCATGATAACAGAAATTTAAAATTTATATTTAAGTGTAATAAAAAACCCATGAGAACTAAAGACTGTTCACTAAGTATTGAGAGATTAGAGAACAATATCTAATTGTCTAGGACTTAGAGACATATTATTATTAATTGCATTTACATTGAGGGGTGTATCCCGATGAATTATAAACATCAATGGCAATCAGTTTAAGCTATCCTAAATACAAAACAAATTTAAAATATACTGTATATCTCGATTATAAATTTTATAATAAATATGTCCTAAATTACTTTATTCATAGTTGATGTGAGATAAGTTTTCAACCTTTTGAAGGTTGAAAAACATATTTTGGGAGTAGCTGTAGGTACTGGCATTGTAAATTGATGACAAAAAAATTACGATATTAATTACAAATTTTTTTAAAAAAAAGGGAAGACATTTTTTTACAAAATCTTTTATAGGTATCGTATGATAAATTTTTTTTTAATCATGTAAATACCAGAAATTTAACACGTATAAGATACGAGTCAATGGGTGGGGTCCAGACCCCATGAACCCCCCCCCCCCCCCCGTAAATACGCCACTGGACTACACTACCAAAGAACCCTGATTTCAAAAAAGACCCCCGCTCGGACAATCAGTGATGCAATTGTTAAACACAGATAACTAAGTTGGTATGACCATGGATGAACTTCCGAAACCCTTATCACGCTTATCACTTTTAGTTCTGAATACCGATGATTTTCAACCACGGTAAACATTATTAATTTAATAGTACTTTAACGATTTTACTTTATCTACTATCTATTAAGTTTTAAGTATCAATCGAATATCCGGTATTCTTTCCTACTTAAAAGCAAAATAATGTGTATTCTTTTGTACACATTCAAATTTTAATTGAATATGTTTACATAGCGTTTAGTTTAAGAGTTTAATCTTCAATCAGTAATTTATGGAAAAATTACTATTTTTCGTGTATTCGATTGGAATCCTTATTAGGATATATTTGAGCTTCAGCGATTTTAGCACTTCCATTGCAGACCGGGTTGAAGTGTCAACGCCATTGAACTCTTGGAAAAGAGGTTTGAATAAATCACTGTGTCCATAATTACAATAGTTCTCTGTTACCAATTTCTAATTAATATATCGTTGGTTCTCATTAGATGATTATAGTAAATTGTTCCAAGACCACCGCTATAAGAATAAAAGTAGGGTGTGACCTTTTAAAAAATGTCTATTCGGTGCAGTATTATAATGATTATTTTCAAGCATTTTACTCAATCACATCTATCATAAAATGATTAAGTGCTAGGTACCATATAAATTATTTAATGACTTGTTTTTTAAAGTTCATCTTAAATTGTATTTTGTGCAATTTAAGTTTTTCGCTATTTCAGGATGTCATTGTTGTTAGCAGATCTTATGTACAGTATCCTTGTATGTATTTTATGATAATCCATATCTCTTGTTTCGAAATAGTATGAAATATTATGTAAGACTAAATTGATATAGATATCTAGACTTCTGTTTAAATAATAATAATACCGGCCAAAATAAGTAGTTTAATGCAATTGGTTATTACTTTTTAATCACAATAAACGATACAGTTACTAGAAGAACAACCTATGGACAAGCACATACTTATAAGTTTGTGATAACCCACAAAAAAAAGAACCTATAATATGTTTGTATTTTTGGATTTCAAACTATTATTGCTTCTTGTAAATACATAAATATAATTTATTGTTTTTACTTTTTTACTGCAACTTAATTAATATCTAATCTAATCAAATTTTGTTTTTAGTTATTGAAGGTGTATCTTTATACAACGAGAATATCAATCCATATGATGGGGATTTATTTCACGAGACTCCATTGGCTCTTGTATTTTTCAGTCACTTGACATCAACTTTTTCAGATTTTTATGTATCATTAGTATTTATTGCGTGCGATCTCACAACTGCTTTTGTGTTGTACTTTACGTCTAAAATTTACACTGAAAATTTGGTATGTTAAATTTGTAATATTATTTTTATTTTTCTGTAAATACTTGTAGTACTAATATAATTTTCTTATTTTAATACTATTTTAGCTTAAACAGCAAACAAAAACAAAACACGTTTACAATAAAGAATTTAGCAAATTATTGATACCAGATGACTTTTCAGTCATAAATCCGTTTTATGTATGTTCGGTTTACATGCTTAACCCATATACAGTGTTTAGCTGTATTGCAAGAACAACAACAGTGTTCAACAACCTATTTTTGGCACTATGTTTATATTCCATGGTAAAACGTAAGTATCTACATTTATTAAAAAAAATTGTATAGTTAATATTTTGATTTTCATACAACCCTTAAATACTGCTACTAAATAACACTATTTAATATTAAAAATAATTAATACCTATTTTGTATTTATTTTTTTAGGACATAGGCTACTAGGATGTCTGAGCTTAGTATTAGCATCATTGCCAACGTTTTACACATTTGGTCTGCTTGCCCCCTTAATGATAAGCTGTGCACCTATTGACTCTAAGAAAAAGACTGGTTCATTCATAATTACATTTTTAACCTGTGGTACCATTAGCTGCTTGCTTCTGTACTTATGCTACACAATTATGAATGAATGGACATTCCTAGACTCTGTTTATGGTTTTATGTGCGTACTAAATTTTAATTATACTGTAATTTACGGTTTTAAAGTATTTATGTCACAATTTATATTTCAGATTAAATGTTCGTGATTTAAAACCAAATATTGGTTTGTTTTGGTATTTTTTTACTGAGATGTTTGAACATTTCCGTGCACTATTTGTCTGTGCTTTTCAATTAAATGCATCTGTTCTATATGTGGTTCCATTAAGTATACGTCTTCGTCGTGACCCATTGTTGTTAGCCACCAGCTTATTAACATTAACAGCAGTTTTTAAGTCATATCCAAGCATAGGAGATGTTGGATTTTACCTCAGCCTTCTTCCAATTCATAGGCATTTATTCTACTGTATGTCAACTTAATAACTATTAACTAATATTACTCATTAACTTATTAAAAAAATATTATACGATATTCTTTTATATTAATTTTCAGTTATGCAACAAGCATTTATTGTATCATGTTTCTTTGTGGGTTGTACTGTTTTTGCTCCTACGGTGTGGCATTTGTGGATTTATTCACGCTCAGCAAATGCTAATTTCTATTTTGGAGTAACTCTTGCTTTTGCCACAACTCAAGTAAGAATTAAAAATATTTTTATTCTCTATATCAAATTTGGTTCAAAATCAGAATGAATTTGATATGTCTTATCAATGATTTATGTTTATAATTGTTAATTAAATATGAATATATTATGATGTTAAAATGTTTATCAATACTTTAGTTAATATATTTTTCTAGATATTCCTGATCACTGATTTATTGTTTGCATACATCAAGCGAGAGTTTGCTCTGAAACATGGTATGAAACGTATGATCAATGGAAAAGAAGCCCGTCTAATGCTTGATTAATACAATTTTATATCAACTCTTTATGAAGAATTCTAAAATCTTAATATGACAACTTTGAAAAAAAAAATGTTCTATTGGTATTTTTTTTATACTAAAACACATACCAAATTTCATCTAATAACTATAATTTATAAGTACAATGTATGATATATTTTTACAAAAAACAATAAAGTAAAATTGTACAGAACATGATGAACGGATCTGCTTAGATTTTCTACTTCCCTGTAATTCCTAGTGTAATTAACTTAATGCAAGTATGTATGTGGATACATAATATAAGCTTAAAACAACTGTGGTCAAATGGTATGCATCCTATTATTTTCTGTGATATCCAATAAAGATTTTTTCTTCTTGTAATTTTCTCTTATCACATCCTCATATCCAGGTGGTGGTGTGATTACGGTTTCGTATCTTGGTGGTGTTTCTTGCATGATCTCTGGTGAACAATATGTTTCTGGTATTTCACAACATTCCTAAAAAAAATGGTTGTATAAAGTTTAATTATTTTTAGTACTTTTATGTACAATTTGATTTAGTGGTATGGGTAGCAATTATTAAATAATGATTAATATATTAAGTAGTAATTTTATTATAACCATTCAACATCTTTTTTCTGTGTTGTATTCATAATTTCATGAACATCAACTTCAGATAAAATGATCTTTAAACCATTTGTCTAAACTGATATAACATATTAGTATGGGCCTGTTTGTATTTCCATTGGCCATGCTACAAAATATGTGTTTTTTTGTGTATTAACAATGAACAATTTATTACTTGTTGTAAAGACCATTGTAGTGCTTCATAGTAAGTGTTTGAATTAACATCAATCCAAAAAGGTTGTGGTTGTTCATCACATGTTGTCGAATCAAACTTATTGTCTTTCCATCGACAACAATAACACATCCACAAAATAAATAATATCATGCTACTCATCATTACCCTATTATTAAAAAAATATATAATGATTATATTAATAGTAATAGAGTATAACGTTCATGTGTAAATTATTTTAATGCATTTTCCTATAATATGTAAAATGTAAAATGTAAACATGTCTTAGGTGTTTATAAGATAGGTATTTAATTATATACAATATTATATACCGTAAAAATGATGTTTTAGAACATTAGCAATATGACTCAAATGTTTGGTTTGGTATGGTATGTACTGCTTCTGAAGTGCATTGTGATTTGTGGTTGTGTGCAAATTGTAAATTCAATCAATACTATGGGTATGTATATATTTGTAATTAAATTTATTTTATTATTATTACCCTCCCAATAGTATATTAACTCCGCCTGGTGATGTATCTTGTTGATTTTGATGATCTTGGTGTTCAGGTTGATTTTTATTCTTGTGCTGTTGAGTAGCCAACGATATAGCAAAATGTTGTCCAAAAGTAATCATTCTGAAAACGTATTTTAAATAAAATATAACATTACTAATAAAACCAACTTGTAAATTATAAAAAATCCATGCAGCATCAGTATAGATTGAATATTAAACATAGATGGTTGAGAGAATTGTGCAAAACAGCAAAATAACTTGAAATAAAATATTTAGGTGGGTGCCTATGTATATGGGTAGACCTATACATTTGTAAGTTTTTTGCCAATTCTTAACAGCTTATTTTCGCAGAAATACTAATCGACCTACCTATTACGTAAGAATAATGCATTTCTAGGAAAATTAAGTAGGTACCTAGCTAGGTATTGATTTTTAGTTTTTACAAATTAAAATGGATGCATAATATAACATTATAACAGGTCAAGTAAATGCGAAATTAATTGGAAGATACATTTTAATGGGTGGGTAATTGCAATAGGTAGGCGCTAATATTAAAAGAGCCGAAATATAACATTTATAATCTGTTCAAAAAGCTTAGGTAGAATAAGGTATAATCAAAATATATTTTCACAGAGAGAAACAATAATACAATTAAAAACTCTCCAGTAGTATAGCACACCTAGAAGAAGTCCTATTAAAAGCAAGAATAAAAAACCATAGGTAATGCAATGATGTAAAACATTTAAAAATAATTTGTATTTAACATTTCCGAAATTATGTACTTACTTACTGAATGTACCTATGTATTATAATACTAGGAATATTATTATGATTCATGTTAATTTGTTATTATGAACGAACCGTTTAAAGGCTTACAAGTTACAATAGTTGTCTATACAGTATAGGTGTTATTTGAAATTAGCAAAATATAGATTTAACAATAATTTTTTCCTCGTTAATTTTACTGTTCATTATATGATTCGTATCTGCTTATCTTAAATAATTAGGAACATTAAGATTTAATCATTGAAAAAATATAAACATTAAAATTAAAATAAATTCAATCAACATAATATTATGTAATTAAATTATATAATTAAATACATAAAATATTTGTATACCTACGTTCTAAAAGTTATAAAATTCCAAATCTTTTGATATCCAACAAATATAATTATTGGATTAAGTAGATATACCTACGTCGCCGTCGTAGATATACCTAGGTACTATCTCTATACCCACGGATTAAACGGTAGGCATTGTAAATGTTGTTGAGATAGGTAATATAATGTGTAAACCATCAAATTTTAAAATAAGTAAAGATTAATTTGACATCTTGTCCATTTCGATTGCAGCGTTAAAAGTTAAATACAAATTTAAACTAACATGAACGGATGAAATTTTAGAGAGAAAACTACCGAATATATGACAGTAAACTTAGTACATGAATTGGAAGGATCTCATCAATTGAATATATACAGGCATATAGACATATAGGAAACGGTTTGGCCGAGCTTCAAATTGTATGTCAAAGACACGCTGATTATTTGTCTACTGTATGTTCCTAGCGCATTTGCGTTTAGTCATCTATAGTTTTGGTCTAGAACAGAACTGTAGGTAGGTACTTATTTATACCCTTGTTCAAAATTGTTCAAATCTGCCTATTTATGTACCTAATTACTTACTGGATACAATATTATAAATACTCATGTAACAAAAAATAAACAATTATTCATGGTAGGTATACTTACCAGCTACCTAATTATATATTATAATTAAGATCTATTAAACATGTATAGGTACCTATATTTCTTAGTAAATATAGGTATAGTAATGAAATTCAAAATTTTATATAATTTTGTTCAACAGTATTTTACTTATCATTGCGTTTAGAAGATAGAAGTATAGATTAAATATACTCAAATATATTTAATCTATGATAGAAGGTATAATTGATAAAATAAAGTATATACATATAACCTATATTTCTTTATGTCTGCAGTTGTTGTTTGACTAGGTACCTATACCTACCTAATTATTTAAAGATTGCAATTTGTAACAAAATATGATGATAATAATTGAACTCAACGTATTATTTACACTACAATGATTTTGTAATTATATAGAAGTGTCTTATAACTGTTTAATATAATAAGTAGTAAATTAATTTTATATGTATTTATACATAAATATAACAAGGGTGGCCAAACAATGGATCGCGTCTTAACATTTTTACCAATATTATAATGAAGGTATCATGCTTTTTTTACTGATCTTCCTATTAGGTACCTACCTATGTTTCATTAATTTGTGCGACTCGCAAACCTTTTATCTCTGCCACCCCTGATGTATAATAAAATAATTTTTATAAGACGTCATATGGTGGAAACTCTGAATGATTAAAAAGAATAACTTTCTTTCACAAATCACAATTAGTGTGCTTATACAATATATTGATTATCGAGAAAATACTGCTATTATACATTAATATATAATATATTATTAGGTTTTAATCAAACTAAATTATTTGCAATTGTCTTAAGAATATATAACGAAATTGTTAAATGAATAATTATATTAAAGGCTTAAAATAAGTAGGTAGGTAAGTATCCTTGAAGTAAGTATTATTTATTTAAAGACTGGGTGGTTATTTCCACAATATTCAAGCTATATCCACATAATATTTTATTTCTTATAATATTTAATATCGATTTTAAAAAGGTAATTTTATTATTAAGTAACCATATTTTATTTAACTATTTTTGCATTAGAGGATAAGATATAATAGGTATTACATTTTGTAATTTTGAATTGCTTTTGGTTAATTAATTAAAACAAATATTAATATAAAAAATATCAGACAGTTATTAATCATACTGTAGGTACAAAGAATTTTCATGATAGGTATCCAATCATAAGTTAAGTTATTTATAGGTAACAATAACTACTTATTTAATGTTATTCAAATTGATAATTGATGATTTAGATTTAGTTTTATAGAAACTTAAGTAGGACCATTGGCTATTTGGTTTATGGTTATACATAATATACACCTAAATGAAATATATTGTAATTAATTGCGGTAGCACTAGTAAGTACCTAGTAGGTACCTTTATCGCTATATACATATAATCTACCCCAATAAAGTACTTACCTATATGTGACTATATAAAAGGGATCAAATACAATATTATTTTTTGTAATAATTATACAAAATAGGTAATAATTAGAGCACGGAATTATATGCATTTGCATGTCTGTACATAGTACATGCATGTCGAAGGGGGTTTTAAATGTATACGATTCATATGACACAAATACCAAATTTGATTTTGCATATTATTTTGTATACGTGGAGTATTATTGCATATTAGTTTACAAAAGTATATAACATGCATATTTTATGTGTATTTAATAATAAATCAATTTTACTGTAGAAAAAGTTGTTGACATTATTTCTCAGACAATATATTGTTATATTTAACACGGTGGATATGCCATTTTAATGTATGTATCACAGTTGGTTTTTTTAATTTTTATTGTCAATTTGTCATGTTTTCTGTGAGTTAAAATATGTTACTTAAAATAATAAACAACGTAAACAGTAGATTTTAGTTTTTTTTAATTTTGTAATTTATGAAATATTGTATTTTCATATTTTATTATATTTACAAGTTGTTTTCTATTTTAATATTAAATATTATAACGACAAGTCTAAAAGTTATGATTGTTTGTGTACAAAACATTTTTCTATGACAAGTGATTTTAGTTATAGTAGTTTGAAAGTTTATTGTTAGGTTTATTGAGAGTTTTTTGTGTTATTTTATATTTTTAACGATTTGTAATAGGTATTTACGGCAAATTTTAGTTTTGGCTTATTTTTTTTCTTTGAATATTTTATTATGCTGAATAAAATATTTTGATCTATTAAATGTTCGTAACAATTCTAATTATTTGAGTATTTTGGGTTTTGATAAAAAGTTTAGTAGCTTATTATTTTATTATTATTACAATTTTTGATGCAAAGAAGGCGTTTTATTTTATTTAGATGCCTAAATATTTTATGAAACCATTTTTTCTGCATGCAGGTATAATGTTCCTTTATTTTATGTACTACGTATGACCTACCCACTATTTGTAAGTACTACTAAGGTACTTTGTACCTAACTGTTTATTTTAATTGGCCAATTAGGTATTAATTTCATAAGAACTTAAAAATTAAATTAAAGGTACATAATATTTAATAGGTACAGCACGTAAGCACGTTTATTATTATATTTTAATCTAATGCGTATGTTCGATTATTATTTATTATGCCATATTATTATATTGTTCCTTAATCATTTTATTGTCGACTTGTAATAACTTTTAGGTTAAAAACTAAATAAAAAAGCATTGCATAGCTCGATATTTTTCTTCTACTAGGAAAATCCATGAATCATAAATAGGTATGTTTTTGTTAATAAGTAACCATGACAACAAAAACCTTACGAAAAATCGTTCAGAAACATTTTATCGTATATTCAGCCTAAAAACATATTTGTTAAAAAAAGTTTCATATTTTATAACTTAAAACTTAAAAGTTTTTTTTACCTAACCATAAATGTTTTTAAATCTAACTATATATCATCAAAATTACTTATTATTACCATACTGTATAGTCGTATAGATTGTACGTTTATTTTTCTTTCTTTCTTTCTTTAAAAAAACAACTTTAAAGTAAATAACAATAATGACAACACTGTCCATAGTTTAGTTCAAACAGTCTTTGGGTGTAAATAATTCACGACAACAGTTAACATGAATTTATACCAAATTGTTAATATATAATATATTCATACCAATATTCAATTGCACTTTAGGTACCTGCTTAATTATTATTAATACCGGCATCGCGTAATCCTGTTATAATGCAAAATATATGTATAATTGTGTATACTTAATAGTGTATTAGTATATTACATACAGATATTAAAAATATACCTCGTTTTTATTTGAGAAAATAATATTATGCGGATAAATTTATTTAAAGAAAACAAAAAAACATTTAAAATACCGTGAATAATAATAAATAATACAAGTTCCTATATATTAACTTTCAGTGGCTATAGGTAGAGTATG